GACATCTCCAAATGACCTTCACCTGGCAAAGGAAAATGACTTTATCTTCCTCCCCCATTCTCCACACAGCTGTATGTGAAGTCTTGTTGAACCTGTAATGAGGGCAGAGGCAGAGGATATTTTTATAAGGACAGTTCCTGTATAACTCTGTATATTGATTCTTCCTTGTGTTGAAGGCTTGTGTCTTCTATTAATGCTGTTAATTCTTGTCCTTAAAAATAAAGAATTAGAGCAGCAGAACTATCTCTCCAAAAGCTAAATAAAAGTCAAATGATCTTGGAATTCATCAGCAGCCCTTTTGGATATCTAGGACATCTAAGACCAAAACTGCTTGTTGATGTTAGGAAACAAACAAACAAAAAACAGCAGTTACACAAATTGGCTCTTGGGACAATAAAGCAGCCCTTCTTGAGCTTTGCTGCAAAATTGTGAGCCACAGCTGTGCCACTGAGTCACGTTCAAAGGAAGAGATGAGTTGGGGAAATATTTACACAGAGGTCCAGGATTTGGAAGGACTATACATTGTGCCTGCTTTGTAGCAGATTTTTTTTGTTTGTTTTTGAGAAAGCTCACAAGAGAACCTTCAAAGAGCAGATTCCTTGTTGATTTGGAGAGCTGAAGTCTCTTCCCAATGAAAGTTTGAGTTTATCTTTAAAAATGAAATAAATCAAAGGTCCAAATTCACCCCTTGTGGCAGTTCTCCAAGGCAACAGAACGACACCTAGAAGGAATTAGGGTTAAAGATGGCAGCATGAAGGACAAAATTCTTGACAGTCTTCAGTTGTAGGTGACAAGGTCATCACTGCTTGTCTGTGGTTCACTCAAATTTGTAGGCCATACGAATGCTGTTCCAGTTCTCATCATTTGCATAAAGCTCCCCCTTTGCTACACATCTCTGCCATGTAATGAAGGGACTGTGTGAACAGAGCTCCAGGTCTTAGGGCAGAGGTTGGAGGCAAGAATGTCCCTCCTGGCTCTGCCAGAAACTTTCCTTCTAAGCTTAGTCAACACACGAGCTGTTTGTACTCACAACAGTAACACTTTGCTCTAGAACAAAAGGAATGTGGTTAGTGTGTTTTCTTTGTGAGTAATTTGTTAATTAATTCAAATATCAACAGCTGGCTTTTGTGAGTCAAATGTGTCAGGGCTCAGTTAAAAAAGTAAGCTCAGAGACCTGCTGAAAATGTTTAGAGATCTGAGGTGGGAAAGGTGTCATGCACACAAAGCTGAGCAATGGGCTAAAGTACAACAGGATCCAGATAGGTAGACAGCATTTGAACTGTGAATATGTTTTCAGGATTTCAAAAATCATAATGAGTCCTTGCTTTGGCCATGGATGTTTGGACACTTTTCTGTAGACTTTTGACATTTTTGACCTGAATATAATTTAAAATTCCATGATCTCTCAAATGGAAAACATTTTTGGCTTTGTTTTCTTTTCAGACCAGACTGACTTGAAAATCAAAAGGGTAAAATATACTTGAACTTGTTACCAGTGAGCACCCACTAACTTCAAGCCATGCCCTTCCTTCAGGCTCATGTAATTCATGAATGCATTTTCATTTATTTTCAGAGAGACAAGAAAAAGTAGGGAATGTTGTGCAATTGTAAGTGAATGAGAACTTAGACTGAGATTTTAACAGGATCATCAGTGAATTCCTCTCTTAAAACTACACTGAAAATTCCAATTGGAAAAAAACCCCAAACAACAAAGACATTTTGACACCAAACTGGTCTCATAGCTAGTTCAGCAGAAAAGGCAGTAATATATTTTTTTTCTCTCAGTAAAATTATTAAGTACTCTTAAAAATGAGTACGAGAGAACCTGTGAATGTCAACAAACCTCACAGCTACCTTTTAGATTTGATTTAGCTTTTAAAAATGTGTTAGGATACTAAAATAAAGCCAGAAAGATAGGCATATAAATGCAGGTGGTTTCTTAATTGTACGAATATATAGAAGCTCAATGAAGTTGAATCAGGCCTGTATTGAACCTTACAAAAAATCTGTAGGGATCATTAACCCAGAATTGGAAGTTCTGGTGCTTCAAGAGTGCTCAAGTTTATTAATATTAATAAAGCAAGTGGTAATCCAGGACAAAATAATTTGTTGCCTGTAGAGCAGAGGCTCTTATTGATTATGCAGTAACAAAATATGCAAGGCTTTAAACAGTTTTTGGTTGGGACCCTGGACCATAACTTAATAGATAAATATTTCAAATAATGCAGTATGCACATAATTTCCAATATCAGAATTTAAATTTGATCCTAACAAAATGTTGCTTTCTCAGCTGTTTTACAGAATAATAAGCCAGTTATTCCCTTTTCTTAAGAAGATGGAAATTTTACAAGAAGTTGAAAAGAATTAAAGAGATGTTTCTTCTCTTTTTTCCCCTCCATCATAAATTGATTTAAATTTATCCACATCTTGAAGGAGAAGACCACAATTAAATCACTTTACAGTAGATTTTCATGTGGGAAAACTGCATATCTGGCAGTTAAACTTTAAAGTTTTTTTTTCTCCTCTCCTTTTCTCTCCCTCAATTTGGGCAATAGAAAAAACACTATAAAAGTTCCCTTCCAGTTTTAATTATGCTTACCCACCTTTACACTCAAGTATTTACTGTTCTAGAACAGTCCCAAAATGTTTCTGTTGAAGACATTTCTGAGGGTCATTTATTTGATTTTAGCACTTCTTCAGAGTTGCTGGAGTGAAAAATTCATTCAGTAAATTTTAAGTTCTGTTAGGCACTTAGTTGAGGAGGTGGAGTCCTGTGGAGACGCATCTATACCCCTCAATGAACAGAGGGAGCCTAGATAGCACTGAAGTAAATATCTAAGTTTTACACCTGTAACAAGGAAGGACTAATCTGGGTAAAAGAATAGGTTTTCTTCTTCTTCTTTATAATTCCCTTATGCAAGCAAATAAGGACTCATTAGTTAGCATGTTTTCTCGTCACGAAGGCAATGTCCTTACTGACCTCAGGAGGAACAGCATCATGCCACAAGTGCTCTGTTTCCTTCCATACATTTGGAAGATGAGAATTCTGTTGTTAATTCCATTTGACTCCCTATGTAAATGCCCTTGGCAAGTTTTCACTGTCCCTAGGATTAGAAGTCTAAAGCCAGTCATCCAAGATGCAATACATGTTAATGAGTTCTAGAAAGCTGTGGTGCAGACACGTGTGTATGAGCACTTTCACCCTTGGCTTCCTTTATACCTAGTTGAGAAAAACATGCACTTTCAATCCATGATTTGTCATTACTTTGAGGTGAGATAAACTGCATATTCTGTCTTTCTCTCTCCACTGTTATAGGACGAGAGGTGATTAATCCTGTTGTAGTCACGTACAATGCAAAATGCCACTGCTACATTCCAACTATTTTCTGTGGAGAATGAGAGGCACTTCCAGATGATCCCTTCTACCTGTCCTGGACACTTGGTTTACAAGTTAAGTGGCCACCCATAGGTATCTAATGCTGTCTGATGGGATCTTCAGGCTCCTCCTTTAGATGAGTCCAATTCTCCTATAGGCACCATGTCATATCTGCCAAAACTCTGCAGCTGTCATAGATACCCTAAAACATCTCAAGTGGCTCTAAACACTTATATGTGGACAACAATATTTTTTCCTACAATAGAAAGAGATTAACTACCTTGTAAGAAAAGTTCAGGTTCTGCTGATCTTAAAAGGAGTTTAGATGGCCAATATAAACCCAACTGTCTTATACCAGTCCTTCCTAATTTTTTCAATAAAGTGATGTTAGAGAAACAAGAAAAGGAATTGAATAAATGTTGTCTCAGAGAAGTTAGAAAATGGCTGGAAAAAGCCTCTTTGAGTCAAAGAGATTTGAGCTCAAACTATATCTCCAATGTGCGAGGATGTGTGGTAGGTGGTTAAGTAGTATCTCAAAAGTACATTAGCAAGGTTATTACCACTTAGTTGCTGTAGACCAAGCCAATATCTGTCTTATTTGTAATTTTGACTTTATTGTCTTCTTGGTAGGGGACTGGATTCTGTTAGACCTCTGCACCTCAGCTGGATTTCTAAAGACAATAAAGCTGCAGAAACAAGCTGTTGAGAAAAAAAATAATAAAAAATACAAGCATCATAAAATCAAGGCAACACAAAAGGTGACTCCAGTTGCCTGCATTGATCCTGTTGAACAGAGATCGAGGTGTGGTAGATTGTAGTGTTATGGGACCAGGGGCTAAGAAGTGAGAGGACAGAAGCCCATGCTCTGATTTAATCTGCAGTTCACAGAGGGATCAAGGCTCTTACTGAAACTATCAGGGTTGTTTTTTTTCATTTTAGCCTGCCATGCTCTTTTCACAAAAGACACCATGGCTGCTGCTTGAATGGTCAAGACAATTTCCCAACAGGCTGTGGCCTCATTCCAGTGCAGCTTTATTGTACATTCCCACCTGGGGATAAGCAGCCCACAACATCAAATGGTTCATTTGTCCCTTGACCCAAGAATTCCTCTTTTGCAAGGTTTCCATATTGTTTTCCCAATGGACACCAGATCAGGCATTTCCAATGGATCAGAGGAAGCCCTTCTTTTAAGCTATCCAGCATGCAAGCAAAGTCAGGATGCTGGAACTATGTGTCCCACCACTGATGCACTGGCCCTAACTGTGCTGCCAGAGAAGAAAGTGCTTCAAATTTCATGTGCTGCCTCAGCCAAGTTCAGAAGTGCTTATAAAAAACAGTGTTAGTGTATTATTCAGAACAATCAAATACTACGTGCACAAAAAATTAGTTTAGAGCAACATAAATTTAAAAAAAAGTGACAATTTCATCACACAATTACTGTACACTGCTCTTCTTAGGGTTGAATACTTTCCTCTCTCAAGCTCTCTCTTTCTCTCTGTTTTAATCTTTCTCTTTTTTGTTTTCTTTTTTTTAAATTTTTTTTTTCCTTTCTTTTTTTTTTTTCCTTTTCCTTTTTCCCCCCTTTTTTTTTTGGGTTCGGTCCACTGGAGATAAATCGCCCTCAATGATATATATATTTAAAAAAAATATCAGCAGCAAGACTCTTCTTGAAATAGATTCTGTTTGATGTAGCTAGTCTGTCTTTTCTGTTTTGCCCTCTTTCACAGCAGCCTCTGAAGTTTTCCGCAGGGGGGCTTTCTCTGAGTTGCCGTGTCCTTGGCCGGATTCTGCTGCTCCTCCGTTTTTGTGCGATGTGTGCTTTTCCAAGTAGTTCAGCATTTCACTGAGAACAGTTTGGAAAGTGCTTAGAGCAGCACATATTGCAGGAGTTCCAAAACCGTGAGTGATCAAGCTACAGATCGGAAGGAGACAGAAAAAGAAATACACACAAGCACATAAATAGAAATGCACTCAGGTACGTTGAAGAACTTGCAATAAACTCATTTTGCTATAGGGAAATTCAAGCTTTGCTCCCTAAACTATTTATTACCTGTGGGAGAAACAGAAAAGAGTAGAGCAGAAGTGTAGACTACATACAGCTTCAAAGGTTGGTTTTGGTTAGAGTCTCAGTTCTGAAACACTGTGAAACAGATCCTTGGTCGATGCAGGATGAGAGCTATTGACTTCAGAGAGGCCAAAAGAGGCTCTGTAGTCTAGGCTTTCAGGCACTGTTACTCTTCCAATTTCAGGAGGATTGGTTCCTATATTCTCAGGTAAATTAAACCAGTTCTATGTGTTTTATTCACTTTCTTAGTGGAGTGGGGAACAAGACCTGCTTGCAGCCCAGAAAGCCAGCTTTGTCCCAGGCTGCATCAAAAGCAGTGTGACCAGCAGGTAGAGTGAGGGGATCTCCCCCTTTACTCGGCTCTCGTGAGACCCCGACTGGAGCATTGTGTCCAATTCTGGAACTCCCAATATAAGAAGGACAGGGAGCTCCTAGAGAGAGTCCAGAGGAGGGCCATGAAGATGATCAGAGGGTCAGAGTCTCATTGTTGTGAGGATGTCTTAGGATACCTCACCAGATACCAGATACCAGAAGTGACACTAGAGATCAGTTTTTAGGCAATTTACTCCAGCCCTGTTTGCCTAAATATTATGCCTAGAGTATATGATGGACCATACAACTCAGGTTGTACTAGACACCTCAGTAGGGGCAACAAAATTATTCTTATTGTTATGACTCTTTTTGATAAGTGGTAAGTGAAAAAGAACCCACCTAGACCCTCCAGATTTTAAGTTTCCACTTAGCAACATATGAGATTATTTCAACGGTCAAAATGCCATTGAAGTTTTTAGAAGACTAATTTCATTTATCTCAGTTCTGCTCAGGGAAAAAATAAGGCAAGGAGAGGAACAGAAACTGATTTTTTGGGTTTGTGGACGTTTTGAGAAATCAATTCTTTATATTGGTTTAGGTGAGGAAATTTTAAAAGTACATGACCTAGATTCTGACAAAACAATATTTCCATCCCATACTAGTTAAGATCTTTTCCCTTCCGTAAATCTCTGGGTATTTTAAGCACCATTTGAGGGAGCCCTGACCTCATGAAGAGAACCGTGTGTAGGTCAACAATGGGAACATTTCTGTTCAGTGGGAAACACTCTCCTCTGCACTTTGGTTTTTCAGTCTTTCCAGCTATTGTACATAAAAGTGAAAAAGTAGGGGCCAAGTTAAAAAGAGGTTACATAGGATATGGAAAATTGCTAGGATGCTGGAATTATTAAAAAAGACAGGGGAAAGGATAACTTCTAGGGTGATCTTTCTGCCTGCTGGACATGGGAACCCTGTTTGTTGGGAAAGCTGGTATCCTAGGGAAGGCAACAAATTTATGAAACTCCTAATCAAGACGAGAGCTCAGTTTGGAAATATCTCTCCATTTCTGATTGAGAGGGGCACAATCTTTTATAAAAGGTCTCCCAAAAGCTATTAACAAATAACTCACTTTTAGAATGTTTATCAATCAGTCTCCAGGCACTTTTCAAAGCAGGAATTCATGTATATGCCCAGTTAGTAATGAGAGGAAAATGATTATTAAATATTTACAAGGACTATTTTGCAGACATCAATTAATAATACCACATGGCTCTTGAAGTTTGGACTCTTAAAGTCTGGACTTGTAGTAATATAAAGATCTTTTAAATTTAGCATTAAAAAGAGGTAAATATACTTTTGTTTTTTTAAAATTTAGAAATGCCTGGCATTCCAGGAAAATAAAAATAATCATAATAATTGTAAGTCATGTTTTTAATAGTAGTAGAAACTGTTACAGGTAATTTCAAGACTTTGTGTTGCATTTTATCATCATTTCTAGCCTTCAGAAGTCCAGATAAATGAAAATGGGAGCTTATAAAACCATAAAGGAAGAAAAATAAAATTCAAGTATGTGATTACTGATTATAATATCTCATGTTTTTTACACTGCTTCTGTGATCTTCTGGGTCCTGACTTGTGAAACTGACCATATCAAGACATATATAAAACTGGTTATGATCTTGCTTGCAAAGAAACCAGTCTATCTATTTTAAATGTTGGCAGTATCTGCAATTGTTCATTTCCATAGATGTAAATAGTAAGTTTAACAAAGGGTTGAATAAAAAATAAATTTTCTGTCCTGCTTCTCTTTGAACATTTTGACTCCTGAGCAAAAGGAATATGACAATGTTCATATGATAATTCATACACCCTGAAGAGCAAACTGGGAATACTAAAGTTAAAACCTACAGAGACTGTCTTAGAAATGATCAGTAGGGCTAAGAATAAAGGTAGAAAACTTCAGTGTTCTCAAAAGCTGAACAAGTCTGTGGAAAATACCAGAATGTGACAAAAACTGACATTAAGGTACATCAGTATAGTAACTTGCATGTGTATACAACAACAGTGCCTAAACTCCTGTTGCAATCAAAGGGAACTTAATGTAGTTTCCTATGTATAAGAGGATGCCCTATTAAAAGTGAGACATCTGCACAGGACTGCTAGATATGACATAGGACTGAAGTCCAGGTAGTGCAGAGGGCTTATGGGAGACCAGCAGCCTCTTAAAGCAGCAAGTTATCACGCTAACACACCTAATAGCATCTGAAAAGATGCTGCATGCTACTGTTTGCTTGGCTATATCTTGCCCTAGATCTTTATTGACTGCAGGGGAAGCTTAAACACCCAGCTTGGATTGAAACACCTAGATATGGGGATTTTATCTTGAGCAGAATCTTAAACTTCTGGACTGAAAACTGCTGTTCATAGGAAAAATATTTTGTGGGGTGAGTTAGGGGTCTCTCTCCTTTACAGTTTAGCCTCTTCTGTACCACTGATTGTTAAACATGGCAGTTGTTTTCAAGATAGCATCCTATTTCTTATAAAAAAGCCAACCTTTCTTTAGGGAAACGGTGCTGCAACGACTCATTCAGTTCCTGATGAATACATTAATCTTCACAGAAAGAGATACCCAGAGTTTATTAATTTTCCCATGAAGCTTATTAAGAGAAACCATTTAATGCAAAATTTCTGACCAGCCCTCCTTGCCATGCTCCTGTAAGGGTGTATTTTTTAGCCACATTTTATGTAATGAGCATAAAAGGCTAACAGATGTTATCTTCTATTTTATCTTATATTTTTATCAACAATTCCCTTTGCTCTAATTTTGGTCGACTTTCTCTGCAAGTTTGTGTTTAATAAATCTTAGAAAGTTGGATAACACCCCTTTCCTGATGAAAGTAAAGCTCAAGTTGGGGAGAAAATCTGATTTTACATTTAAATCAGATGTGACAGACAGAAAATTAATGGAAAAGCATTCAGATGTGATCCCTGAAAGTCAAAATTTAGTTGCCTGATTTTTCAGGCTAACTGAACTCACTCTGCTTATTTTTGGTTTGCTTCACACCTATGAAATGAGTTGCTTTTGTTATAATACTTTTGTTTCTGTTTAAAAGCCTAAAGTTAAACACAGTGGTTTCGTAATGAAGTCTTCTAGGTATTCTCAGCTTCGTAGTGCACTCCATTGCAGCTTCTATAAACTAACTTGTTCTAAAAGGACAAGGCTAAAATATCTGATTTTGGTACTGTGCATGGAGAGCTGCAAAAAGAAAGCAATGGACATCAGGCCAACATATTATAAACCCTTATGCTTAAGGACATTCAGACCTGCCTGCAATTCTGCCCAGCATTGGGATGCAATTATGTCTGCTCATGTTTTAATGATGGACTTACTTAAAAGTGAAAAGATCCAAGTGTGCCTGAAGGCTTGGACCCTTGTTTGGCAACTACCTCAAGGACTCCTTCATAGCCCAGGCTTGTGAAACTTCAACATGTGGCAAAAGAAACAGATATCCTCTTGGTAGGGGGAAAGGGGCCATCTGCACTGAATGTTTACACCCTCATTTAAAATAAATACCAACTTTAAAACAATAATAATGAAGAAAAAGCAAGCTTGAACTCATTGGTCAGACTTTCTCAGAACTCTGAAAACCACTTCATGATTATCTAAATTGAACAACACATGGCAGGTGACAGATCTGATAAGACTATGGCTGTAAAGGAAATGGAAGAAGATTTGAATCTTTTCACTCATACAAGTGACATCCTAAGTTAGAGGTGCCAGTATTGCCTTTGAGGTGCTTCTGTTGGTTTCAAGGCATCAAATTGTGAAAACTTTACTTCAGAAGGTCAGTAGACTTTCTACAGTGAAGCAGCTACTGTACCTGAGAAGCCCCATTGCCCTCCTCAAATGAGAAATACCAAGAAGTAAACATTATAAACATGCTGATGACACGGGAAAATGCAACTTGGTAACCTAAGAAATTAGACATAAGGGGATGGCATTCCTTTATTTTGGGAAACAAGAGAATGCCTTAAATGTTTTTAAAAATCTGAAGTTCTGAATTGAGAAACAAATCAAGCATCCCAAGATTTTTTCCATATTTGATGAATATTTGCCTTTTCCTTGGTAATCATGGAACTATCTTACTAATGAAGAGGATAAAGTAAAAAACCCAGAATCTTATCTATTCTCTTGACTCTCTATATTACAACTTTAAGGGAATATGGTGTCATGATAAAAATCATTGACACATGGCTCATCATTAAAATTGTTGTCAATATTAGAAATTCAAACCCTTCCAAAAGGATCTGGATCATTAGTAGAGCAGGTGAAGGTGACTGAACTCTTGCCATGGGAAGATCAAAGAGATAATCCATCTGAAAGGGAGTGAAGGAAAAATCTAGAGGCTGATTGTGAAAAAATCATGGAGATCAGGGAACTCTAGATGGCACCAGAGGTGTGTTTCACCATGAACTTCATTGCTCACTAGGTTTCTTTCAGTCTGTGCATCCAAACAGAAGGCTGCTGCTGCTAATCA